TATGTCTATTTCTTAGTTTTCTCTTCTTTTTACTAGTGTCTTTGTTACTGTTTCTTAGTAAAATTTTTAAGTTTTTGGCTTTTTTCTCTTAGCTCTGGAAATAGTCAAAATAATCGATGAAGAGAGTTGTATCCCTTTTTGTTTGCATTAGTTTTTCTTTCAGGTCTTTCTTATTATTTTGTAATATATAGTTGATAGCAGGATTAGTTGGATATATATACTTCTTCTTTGGTTTTGTTATCATAGAAGTTATAATATTTCTTGATTGTAGTATATTTCAGGTCAGGTTTATAATAGGTCTTTGATATTGTTCTAAGAGGCAATTTCTTGTAATATAGCCTTTTTCTCCATGATTATAGTATTTAATACCTCTATTTGTTAGTTGCTGAAGGCAAAGCAGTCTATTTGAGGTTTGGTGGTTGTTGATTTCAGCTCTTGCTACAAAAGTAATAGTTAATTATTTATAATTTGTAACCATATATTGTATTCTTTGGGTTAATTAATCAATTAGTTTGTTGGTTAATTCCTCTTCTACTTTTCTTTCTTATAATATTCATCTGCTTTGATTTTTCTTATATTAGCAATAGCTTTGTTGAAATTATCAGAATAAAAAAGTGATAGAAATATAGCAATTTTGCCTTTTAGTTCTGCTATGAACATTCTAACTACATAAGTAGGTAGTAGTCTATTCTCTAGGTATACTGTTTTTAGTAATTTTTTGAATTTATATATATATAGATTGACCTTCTTGTTTTTCTGTTAAGTTAATGAGTTTAAGTCTAGCTGCTATTTGTGATACTTCTCAAAAGTAACAAAATATTTCACAAATTCAGTAATAAAGCTAGCTTCAAGTTGGATGATATTTTCCTAACAATTAAAATTATTTTTATAATCATTATACTAATTTGCAATGATTCTAGTAAGATATCCTGAAGTAATGATGACCTTTCTTTTCTTGAGCCAATTATTAGTATTTGTAGCTCTTTTGAAAGTTTCTATTCATTCTACTGGATCTTCTTTTTTAGTTCCTTGGAAGGTTTTTACTTGGACCCAGTTAGTTTTGCAGTCTCTATGATGATTTTCTTTACTATCTTCTTGGACCACTTTAGTTGCTGCATCTTGAAAAGCCTTAGTGATTTCTTTTAGAAAGTCATAGATGCTTTCTTGGTTGTTTAGAGTTGAATGGGTGCTAGATATCAATTGTTCCTCAAGGTTAAGTAAATAATTCTGGCTTCCTTCTGTTAGTTTATCTAGTGAACTTTGAGTCTTCTCAGTAGTTGATTTACTTTTATTTCTTTGAGCCATCCTTATTATTTTATTTATTAATTCTTTTAATCAGGAGGAAGGGGAGGGGGGGAGTAGCAGATGTTATTTGTCATATCTCACAGTCACCACCAATTGAAAAAGTGAAAATTGGTTCTAGAAATCATCTGGAGGTTTGGTTATACAGAGCTTCGGGTTCACTAATCTATCCAAATAAACTTAGATAATCCAAAAATCCAACCAAGTGGTAACCCTAGTTTGGATAAGGCTTGAAAGAGGCGAGGATTAACCTGGTCCGAGGTTAGGGTTACTTGGGTAGGTATTTAGGATATTGGGGTTGGGTCTATGGATTGTCTTGGTCACGTTTATTGGAAGTCACGATTTGATCACGATTTGGTCACGATTTGGTTGTCACGGGAACACAAAATTATTGTGAGTCGAATTTACGTAACAATTGCGAAACTGATCAATTATTTGATCAGTTTAAGGACTATAAAAGAATATGCGAAAGAATAATTTGGATTCTTTTACTCTAACTAGAAACTGGATTTTACGAGAAAATATTACGTGGACAAGACAGAAAAATTTAACGATTCAAGAAAAACGATTTATAACAATTAAAAGGAAACGGATTTAGAGACAAACAAACACTTCTTTTCAAGACTATTCAAGACTCAGAAGGTTTTATTTTCCGAACTCCATGAGTTAATTTTATTGAAGGAGAATTTTCGCTCAATATATACTTTCTTTACATATGTAAAATAAAAATAATAATAATAAGAATGCTATCGATACCAACTATACTAATTATCACTACTATTGCTATTTTACCAATAATTCGGGTAACTATAACGATTTACATAATGCTATCTATTTTGAGAATTTTGACAATACCAATTATTCCATGAATTCTTGGGATTTTCAGAATTTTCAGAATTCGTACGTATACGTCTAGAGCCGCAGTATTACCCGAGGTGGTAATTCCCCCCTTTACAACGTACCGGTACAGTACGTGCGTACAGTACGTATAGTACTGTACGCGGCACATCACTATACGGGACATAGTAAATCATATGATCCAAACTTGATTTTCAAGGCATAGACCCCATTAGTTATGTACTTGCGACCATAAATTGTCCAAGAACTATAATTAATGTTACTGTACTAAGCTATATGATCCAATAATCTAATAATAAATAAAATAATAAAGCGAAATAATTTATAATTATTTTTTTTTTTAAAAAAAAAAAACGGCGAAAAACGCCGTAATTTATGATTTAATTTGAACTTATCGATTGCACTCTTGATTCTCTCTTTTTTAGGGTATGCGAGATAATCTAAAAAAAAAAAAAAGAATTGATTTTTTACGACTAGTACCATCATTGCATTTAGAAAGCAACGATTATTTTTAGCATGGGAATTTAGATATTAACGTTAAAGGTAAGATTAACTCGTCATTTTTTTTTTTCGGATTAAAAACTTGTGATCTGATAGGTCGTCTGATGCAGATATATGATTTCAATCAAATTACTAAATAAAGAAGGTAATTATTATAATTATTGCTACAAGGGTCTAATCGGAATAATTCATAAATATCCTTATCATGCATGCATTATTTGTAACAATAAAGATAAAATAGTTTCACAATGCCAATTTGAGATATACAAATAAATCATATCGACTATCGCTATTACTGTATTAATGTCAAAAGAAAAAGCAAACTTTTGTACGTATTTCTGATTCAAAATAATTAATTGGTTTATTTTTTAGATAAAATAAAGTTTATTGGTTGACTGTCTTATCTCATTAAAAATTTAGAAATTGCGCGTGTAAATAAAGCGGTTATGAAACAGGCGCAAAATTTAAACTATAATTGGAATAGTTATATCGATATTAAATAATAAATGCATACATATAAGTACGCTCTAACACAGTTTCAAGAATTTGTTCACGTGGATTTTACCGATAGGGAATGTATCCAGTAGGAAAGTTCATTCTATTTGTTATATCGGTAAATAAATAGAATATTCTCCGAAAATCGGAACTATACTTTGAGAACTTTCTTTTTTTGTAGTTACACTATTGATAGGGAAAAATAATTGCATTAACTGGAAAAACATGTAGTTACACTATGATAGGAAAATATTTGCATTAATAGGAAAAATATGTTATCGTTATGTAAATCATACTTATTAAACCATACCGAGTGGGTGAAAAGTCTCTAGGCAGAGACCTTTTTTACTATCTCTGCTAAAATAATTATTTTTACTAGGAAATATAGTACAAATCTTTACAATATATTATCTAGTAAAAAGTCCACTTTTCTACCAGTGAAATATGTGCTTAATTTTAAAATGCAATACGTATAAAAAAAAAATTATACATTATCGTTATCTGTTATAAATTTTAATTTATGTAAAATGATAATTAGAGAAAGTGCCACTTATTTCCATGATAATTAAGATTAGACTGATTCAGAATTAGTAACTTACCTGATTTAGAGTTGGTCAGGATAATATAAAATTATAAGGATATATATCAGTTATCTAATCAAATATTATAGCTAATTGAAATATATCTACAAAATATCAACCATATAAATGTTATCATGTTATCAATGTTGAAAGTAGCATAACAAAATTCCGGATTACCTGTTTTAAAAACAGGCTGGACCAACAACCAATGCATTATGATTGGGAAAATAAGTAATTAAAGAACTTGTCTCTTACGAGACTTAGCGTATTCTCACGCGTCCCCTCAATGAATCCAATAAAGAATCTGATTGGTCTGTCCTATCATACCGGCCAATAAGATTCTTTATCCCATTTTTTTGAGGTATTTGAAAACACCCTCATGATAGTCCCTGTTGTTCGGGAATAAAAATTTAATTTTTAAATTATGTAACTAATTATATTTTAAACAAGCAAATATTTATGTCTTATGCGCAGATCGTTAACATTCCATTTTTATAATAATCAGACAGGCACTGCCGATAACTGGTTTAATATGTAGGTCATTAATTAAGATATGCATATCCAAAGGAATTCATTTCTTATGCGGATCGTTAAATTTATAACCAAATTAATAGGTTATAAGCATGACTGATAACGGATTTATCCGGTAACTTACGATAGTCTGTCGGATAATACTTATAACTTTATAAAATTTGCTTTGCTAAAATCTTACATTTTTGCGAAACCATCAAAATTCTAGATTTGGTGTAAATGATTAATAATATAGGTCGCTAAGAGGATAGTAAATGACAAATTTAGGTTCTTACTAGCACTATTAACGAGGTTTTTGAAAAAACTACTGATTTTTTGTGGTTTGTCAAAAAACCTCGTTAATAGTGCTAGTAAAAAAACTAAATTTGCGATTTACTATGAAAATTTTCTCTTAGCGACCTATATTATTAATCATTTACACTAAATCTAAAATACTTTGATACTTTCGCAAAAATGTAAGATTTTAACAAAGTGAATTGCTAAAAATTGGCTTTTTAATAATGCTGATAAAGTACTAATTTTTGCAAAATTTTGTACTTTTTTAGCACTTTATTACTATAATTTTAGTATAAAAAAAATATTTGCAAATTATTATAATAATAATATGCTACGTAATAGTTTCAATATATTAGCAAAATATTCGTAATAATAAAAAGCTAAAAATTACTAATATCATAAATTAGATAGTTAATAGCGCTGCAATAATATTGTAACAAATTAGTAGAATTGCTAATTTAATATTAATAAACTACTTTAATTTGCTTATATTTAGCTACATTTGCGAAATTTAAAATTTCGAATTTTTGTAAAGTAGTGAATATTATCAAAAATTGGTATGATAATGTAATAAAAAGACTCATACTTACCATTCAATAATGTATATGTTAATTCTTAACATTAATGAGCTAATTAGGATTCCATTGATTGCTTCAAGAATTACTATAATCCTATTTAAGAATCCTATTTATGCATCCTATTTGAGAGCATCAATAAATTCCTGGAGATCAATGATCGATCGAATTTCCTCAAGAATGCAATGATCGCTTGTGCTAATAATTTATCGGATCTGATAAATACGTATTGGTATCAACTATAATGGTCAGATATGGTTGCTCTTTTACCATGCCATATCTGGTCAGTCTGGTCAGGTGACGTAGCGCATCTTAGAAGTTAGTTGGATAATTCAAATTTTTGGAAAATAAAAATACACCGTATTATATCGCATTTATCACAATTGTCAATTAAACTTTTAAGAATAATTAGTTTCTTGTAGAATTATTAATCATACCATCTCATTTATAATAGATAATATCATTGATCAAATTAATGTTTATTAAATTTAAATCTTTATTTACGCACAATGCAAAATATTAAGACATGATATTATAGAAGAAGAAAATGCTTATTAAATATGAATTATTACATATATTGAAAGTTTATTTTGCAAAATGCTGTGAATGAATGAAAAAGGAACTGTTTGCTATTGTTATATTAAATGTGAAATAATAAAGACTAATGAATAACGAAAATGCTTATTATTTGACGACCTAAAAATTATTTGAAAGGTGATGTATTATTTGATTTGATTTTGTTTTTTTTTTTAGTCTTTTTAGTTTTAAATTTAAAAGAAATTTATAGACTTGAATTTTAAAAAAAATTATAGCTAATATATTATATTAAAAAGGATAGAAGAATTCAAGTCTAAATTTTCAATAATCCAGATTATTGAATTTAAAAATTTCTTTTAACTGTTCCAAAAATTAGAGTTCGTGGTCGATTGCTGGCTCAATTCGCGTTCTTCTTCCTTCAAGGAACGTTTTTAATCCTTTTCAAGTTTATGAGCGGCAGTGTGATGTCGGCAATTATCCTAATGGCATGTTTTTCTTTATTTACTCAGGTAAATATGAAAAAAATACTTATGTTTGAATAATAAAATTTCAAAATCTTTTCATTGAGTACTAATAAATTGATTATAACATATTGTAGGGCTGCTGTGGAACGTCATATAGTATTGTCCCATATATTGATCCGGCAGCCACGGGTATAGTTACAGGATTAGTAGGAGCAGGAGGCAATATAGGAAGTTTAATATTTGCAGCAGTTTTCAAAGCTTATGTTAATGACATACGAATGGGATTCATGGTGATTGGAATGTCTGTAATTGCAGTTGCATTTATACCATTCTTGATGAGTATTAATGGGCGAACGCTAATTTTTGGAATAGTTAAAAGAAATTTCTAAATTCAATAATACAAATTATTGAAGATTTAGACTTGAATTCCTTGTACTATCTTTTTTTTTTTTCTCTCATTTTTATTATACTGTATTAGCTATAATTTTTTTTTTAAAAAAAAATTCAAGTCTCTAAATTTCTTTTAATTTTAAATCTTACACCACCTTTCAAAAAAATTTTAGATCATCAAAATAATAAGCATTCTCGTTATTCATTAGTTATTCTTTATTATTTCACAAACATAACAATAGTAATCGTTCCTTTTAATTTATTTCACAGCATTCTGCAAAATAAACATGTAATAATTAGAATTGCAATTAAATTGTTTGTAATTTTCAACATTGTTTTTATTACTAATGCTATTTTTTAATGAAAAAATAAAGTAATATTGGGTTGTGAACTGGTGTCCTGTCCCAAATCTCATTTTTATTATTATTATTATTCTTCTTTATATCGTTTTATTATTATTATTCTTCTTCTTTATATCGTTTTATTATTTTTATTATTCCTGTATGTAGTGTTTATTTCTATTAACTCCCTGTTCATAGCCTTGTTAACCGTGATAGTTAGTAGTTGAATAAGGCTTACGTCAACAAATGGGTGAGTAGTAGGAGCTGTGGCGTGGGATAATAAGCCTTACGATTACTAAGATTAGTATAATGTGAGCAGTGTAGCTTCGTATCACCTTAGAATAGCTTAATAGAAGTAAGGCGACTGCTCACAAGGATAAGCAACTGTTCACGGAAGGCTTCGCCTTAGAAAAAAATAATTAGTACAATTCCCCCCGAAACAAAATGTATAAATAGTAGTTCTTCTCGCCTTTCAAAAAGGATAGTGATCAATTAGTTATTGATAAAGTTCCAATAAAATAAACTATTACTTAAATCCGAATCCTTAACTTTCCCTAAAACATATAACCCACTAAATAAATAATCGATTCCTAACCACGTATATTGTCTAACAAATAAGCCTATACGCTGGGTCTCTTAGTTAACATAAAGGAAGTAAGCATTGAGGCTGAATAGACCTTTCCCTGAGTAATTAAGAGCCGTATAGTGGAGAATTTATATACTGAAGCACCTTTATGAAAGATGACATACGAGGTATTAACTGAATTAGTCTATTAGTTAAACCTGTTGATTAAAATAGAACGATTAGTATTGTGATTAATGTTTTGAACATTTAAGCTATTGGTTTATTGTTCGGAGCGGAGTGGAGAACTTACTGTCCAGACCTCTGTCACGGGTGCCCCTGAAAAAATATAGATATCTAATTTACCAGGGGTATTTTGTATTATTTATAATTCATAAAACGAGAATTAAATTCATATTCGCTATGCAGATTTATACAAATAGAAAGTTTATTCTTTCTGTACATAAAAATAACAATAAATAAATAAATTTTAATGCCAAAAATCGCGAAGAAATAAAAGTGAATACAATATAAACATTAATATCTAATACAGTAGATTCCTTCTGGAAGTGTATGCAATTACATAGATAGTCTTAATAATTAAAATAATGTAAAAATAATGTAACAAAAATTTTTTTAAAAATATAACCAAAAATTAAAATATATTGTAATGGTTATTGTAATGGTTAATTAATATTAATAAAAATTATTTAAAATTATTAAACTATGTAAAAGTACAATGTATAGTATGATGTAAAAAAAAATAAGAAATAAAGAGAAATAATTATTATTATTAAAAAATCATGTAGTTAATCACTTATTACGCGTTTCACTTTTATTACGCGTTTCACTTTTATTACGTGTTTTACTTTATTCTCATTTTAGTTTTATTACATGTTTTATTTTAATACAATTAATAAAATTATTTAACATTTGTTAAATTAAAATTTAATGATGCTTCAAATAATAAGCGAGAAACTTCAGCAGAACAAAATACTCATCTAGAAAGAAGACGTGTAAGAGATCATTACGTCAAGAAAGAGAAACTTCAGCAGAATGTGACACTTGAAGAAGAAAAGACCAGAAAAGACAGTGACAGCATCGAGAACAAGAGACCTATAGACAAGAAACCTTTTTTCGTTCGTTATGATAATTATTTGATCAAACTAATTCTAATAATTGGGACTATGTTATTTAATGATTTTATTACATAAATATGACATTTTGAACTATTAATCTATTAAACTATATCTTTTTTGTAGGCTCTTGCATTTGGTCCAAATCTGGTGAATTTATTTGTAAGTTGGGCTTGAATTATGAAGAAAATGCACATAAATTAAATGATAAAGATAAGTAACTCATAAAAGAATATTTTGAAATTCAAAAGCAAAAGTCTAATAAAAAAGTGGGTTAAAAATCTAGGCTCCGAACTTCAACGGTTTCCGTTTCCTAGTTAATTCTTAAGTTTCCACCCTCATATTTAACACCTCATTTAATAATCTTTTACTTTTCGATTATTTGGTTTATTTTAAGTGTTACATAAATCCAAAGAATTGTAAAGGTTTACAATTGTATTATTTAAATCTTTAATATTCAATATTCGTGACTTCTCAAAATAAGTTCTGGTTTATATCACTATTTAATGTAGTAAATAATTACATATGTTGTATACACGAAAACTATGATATGCTAATCCGTTTTCGGACCAATAAATTTGGAGTATAATGAAAAAAAGTTAAATAAAGTTTCGTATATGTAAAAGATATTATAAATAAAGGGCAAAATCGCCCAGAGAAAACTAAGTCTCGTTGCTTTACTAATTAATAAATCCCAAAATATCATTATTATTTTAATCAAGATTTTAGATCTTTAATATTATACTAGCTTAAAGATCCGCGATTCGTGCAGGATACAATTAATGACTTATATTTTATTCCTGTATTATATGTTCTTAATTGTCTACTATGAATAATGGCAGTGTAACTTACCACCAAAATTCATGGTAACTTGCCACGGTAAGTAATCGCCTTAGTACTTGCCAGAGTTTTTGAGTGCAACTTACTGAATGTTTACATGCTCTTCAGGGTTGTTAGTGGCGGTATAAATTATCGGTAAGTTACCATGAATTTTGATGGTAAGCTATCCTGCCATTATCAGAAGATTTCATTATAGAAGACACATAAATACGGAGACTTTAGGAATAAAATAAAAATTACTTCACTGATAATTTATAAGTAACTTAGTGATTTTTGGTAATTTACCACCAAAATTATAACTTTATTATAATTATATCGATATTCATCAGCATCATCATCACTATTGCCATGGTCATCATATTATTTCCCCGACAGCCAGGGTTGTACGTAAATGATAAGTTACCATCGATAAATTACCGGTAAATTATCAGGTAAGTATGTTACTATAACCTCAGATAAGTTACCGAATTACTGTGGAGTTAAGAAAATTTTTGGGCAGCTTTAAGATATAGTTTTGCCGGCATTAATACTAATAAGTAGGCTATAAAAAACGAGCAAGATTGTACAAAATTTTGAGAGAGTAAACCGCCAGTTTAGCCAATTAAAATTTTTTATTCTTTACGGTAAATTACCTGGTAATTTACCAACATTTACAACCCTGCCGATAGCTAAGGGTTGGCCTGATTTAGGGCTGGGGTTAACTAGATGTTACGGTAGGTGTCGGGGAAAATGGGATTTTTAATTTTTCGTATGCTATCCAACCAAGTTGCATAATATACAAAACCAAAATTCTCTGTTTCCAATTTCTTAATAATTTATCAAATGGAATCCATACTCACATTTCAAGGCTCTAAGTTGAAATTCTCTATTATATAATCATCCAATATCTTTGTTTCTATTTTCTCCATTCTTATGCAGGTATTTTAGATCACATATTAGAGAAACCATGTCAAACGTTGTTATTTTCAATACATATACACTTTTTGCTGTTTTCGGGATTCCTTTATAATAATTTAATTATTCATTTCACATCTATAGTAATTTTTTAAAATTAAAATTATACTCACTAACTAATAAGGCGAAATGAAATGATTTGAAGAGATATAAGAACAATTAATAGTAATTATTTATGTTATTTTAATTTCACTGATTAACGTAATAAATCATTTTTATACTCACGCTCTATTTGAAAGGTATTAAGTAATTAATAGTAAATAAGTATATAGAGATAAGTATTTATGAATAAATTTTTATGTTAATGATTTTAAATCATCTTTATTCTCATGAACAATTTGAAGGGTTATTAAACAATTAATAGTAAATAAGTATCTACAATTAGATGATAAGTATTTATGAATAATTATAATTTTAATTATAATAATTAATAAATTATCTTTTATATACTCATAGGCTAAATTAACAATTAACATAATATTACACGTATAAATTTGAATTACAGATTAAATATTTGATAAATTGAAATTGTATCAAACTACAAAAAAATTATATTACAAACAATTAAAAATTTAATTTATTTAAATCTATTCATAAAATTTATCTTTATTCCCTTCTGCTCCAATTCGATAATAGCGGTTTTAAATATTTCGATATAATTGTTCAATTTAGCTGATTTTAAGTAATGCTTTGTGTTTATTCATTTCAACTTCAATCCCTTAGATAATAACAAAGTTAACTTGAAACATTCTGTCCTGTTTATGGTTTATGTTAAGTAAATACTCGATGTTTATTTATTCTTTTTAATTCTGATTCTGATTCTGTAAGATACAACAGCCAACTTGATAATTTTTATCCAACTAAATGTTGATGTTCATCGAATTCCTTAAAGATAACAAATTACCAATTCGATACATTCCGTTAAAATCTTACTTATTTGTTAAATTTTTTATTCCAAGTAAAAATGCCCAGTGTATGTCCTTTTTCTATTCCAAATTCCACAAAGATAACAATAACTAACATTTAATCATTTTATTAACGCGTTTTATTTCATCAGATTAAAGAATTAAATTACCTATATTAACTTATTGATTTTAATTCCATTTCCTAAATAATAACAACATACAGTATGTATACTTAAAATAAAAACAACTCGAGGAGTTAAATAATAGCTCTTGAAATTAAATAATATACTGTATTAAGTGAATCGTAAAGCTCACATAATATTTCTTCACAGCTAACATTTACAGTAATCAGTAAATTTGGATGTATTTAGGACAAAGTCGTGAAGTTATGTTTTGTTTAGTAAATCATATTGATAATTCACTGATGTAAATACAGTACTGTTCATTCTCTTATGATTACATTTAAACAAACAAAAAATCCACATTAAAGTTTTTCAATTGGTCACATTAGCGTTTTAATATATAAGCTAGTTGTAATCAAAATAAATTTATGTTCATTTCGGCATTACGATTACATCATCTCTGGCATTACGGCATCGCGGTATAACGGCATTCTATAATTATGCCAAACAATACTGCACGTGCCGTAATGTTATACAATCAAATCAATTCTACCATTAACGTATGTACATATTTCCAAAATGTGCATTTGGGTGCATTTATGGTGAGTATTTTAAGAGTTCTATACACTTGGACTAAAACTTAGTGTGCATTTAAAGAGGATATGTGCATTTATGGGGGTTGAACTGTATAATCAAGAGTCAATAATTAAGAACGAATATATTCTCTTCTCTCTCTTTATTAGAAAATTCTTTATACATTCACGCTTTGCAACGAGTACGTACAGTACGCATGTATAATGAGGTCACCTATATGTCGTCACGTATGTGATCCAATTGGTATCCACTGTATGATATGACGTCAACGTCAATCAGTACAGATTATGAGATCGATCACATAAAATGCAGAGAAACTAGAACGCATAGATGGACACAATATATCTAGAAGAAACCAATAATTGGTGACATTCCTCTTAGTGTTTAATTTCATATAGAAGAAGCCATATTGTACTAATATTTTTTTTTTTTTTTGTAATAACTAACATATTATTGGTACCCTGGTTCTTATTCAATTCTTTTTTTTTTTATCATAAAAAAAAAAAAAAAATTATCTAGGATACTTTGTATGAAATCGAGTACTATATTTGGGGATATACAATATAAAATAGTTTATATCGACGAGTATTAGAGAACTTTCTTTTTAATTTTTTTTTTTACAGTATTGATCAGCTGAATATTGATCAACTGAAATGTGTTTATATTTCGTGCCAAATATATTACAAAACAAAAAAAAAAAAAAATCTTTTTTAATATTTCTAAAAATGAAATTTAAAGAATTATTTTTTTTTTACGGATATAAAAGCCTATATGTAGAAGTATTTGATTCGAATTCGAGATTAAGTTTCGAAGTACAAGGGGTAAGGAAAAAAACTGCAAGAAAATTATTAAATGTCACTCAAAATTTTGTCATAATGCATACGTATAAATTTTTATAATACTATGAAGTAAAAAAAATATTGCATACGAAACATATATTATAATAATCTCATATGTCGATATTAGGTAATGTGAAGGAATGCAGTCAAAAAATTTCTTATCGGTAAATTTCTTACCGGTAAATTTCTTACCGGTAAATGCCAAGATATCTATTATGCAGAACGATGCAGAACGATGCAGGGCGCACAACCACAATCATAACGCATGTACGTATGTACTAACAAAAAAATGTAGAAGATGCAATTCAAAAACTCTGTTTTAACCAAAAAAGATTATAACTCCAATGCTAACGCTAATGCTAAATTAGATAGGAAAAATTGTTGATATTATTTGGCTAGACTCGAAAGCATATATTCAGTTAACGTTTGTTTATATTGACATTAGTAATATTATATTCGCTATTCCTTTATTGTATTGTTTTCATATTGCATTACTGCACCATTTAGCAATTCGTAATTTACAATTGTATTGCTGAATACAATTATGAATAGATTTCATGTTTTTTAAATTGAAAAAAAAAAGATTATAGAAATAAAAGAAATCCTAATAAAACAATAATGTACAGTAAAACAACAACAATAATAATAATAATAAAATATAATGAAATTAATAAAAGTGAAAAAAATCCTATACATTTATTTTAACTATGAACAATGAAAAGACTATACAAGTATGAAATTATAAACCCTAAGTATATGCCTAAACCAAATTAATCTAATAACAAAGGACTAAAATGACTAAAATGACTAAAATGTATGCAACAAAAAAAACAAAAAAGAAATTATATTTTACGAATATCAACGCGAAAAATTTCATAATCTTCAATTTCGAAAAATCCTGATTGTTCTATAATACTTTCATCATAATCTTGTTGTTTACAATAACAAAATCTATTTTGTATTTTTAAATCACTTTTTCCAAAACATGGACCACATAATCTTGAAAATTTTAAAGATGGACTTGGTGATTTAAAATGTTTTTTCGCGTCCTTCATAAAATTCCTTTTACTATTATTACGACATTTCTTTTTAATTAATAGTTTAGGTCTAGCTACTTTTGCTTTTTTTCTATTACCATCTTTATCACATAATGAAAAAATGAAAGCATTTTCATCATGTTGAGCTGTTGAAAATAACAAAGGAGATTTCCAAGAAAAACAATTATAACCTCCAATAACTTGACAAGAATCTTTAAGTTTAATTACGATTAATGTTGGAGCACCATAATCATCACACCATCTATGAAATGTTTTTGGAGAATAACCATCTCTACTTGCTCTTAAAATCAGAGTGAAATTAAAAGAAATTGATTGAAGAGAATCACAACAAGATTCACCTTTAATCCAATCAGATATTTGTGATAGGTGTGAAACAGAAATTATTGTTGAATCGATTTGTTGAAAACGTTTTGGAGTAGAAATATTTAAATTTGTAAAATTAATTTCATTAACGCTCTTTTTTTCATCAAAAGTTTTGATGACATCGTCATATATTTGAATTGGATTAATATCTAAATTTATAAAATTAAATTCGTCGATATTCATTTTTTCATCAATATTATTATTATTATTATTATAATTATTATTATTATTATTATGGTTTTTGGTGACATTTTCATTTGCTTGAATTGAAATTTTAGATAAAACTTGTTTTGGTAAAATTTCTGAAAAAGGTTTAACTGTATTATATAGATCTCTTTTCGAGATATGTTCAAACCTAATTAATGGAATAATATTTGCTAAACCAGATTTTAAGAGTTCCCAATCATCTTGAGTCCAATCATCAATACTTGATTCTGACAAATAAGGTACTTTAGAAATACCCCATAAAATTACGATATTCCAAATTGTAAGTTCGTCCATTTGAAGAACATCCATTTTCAATAATTCAGCTAAAGTACGTTCATCAACTAAATGAATTGTTTGATCATTTAAAAGTAATCTAGGTTCTTGACAAAGCATTTGCAGACAAAAGTTTCGTAATAACTCTAAAGTTGGTAATGTAGTTATTATTTTATAGACTAATAAAAAATTATTACGCAACCATTCTGAACGATAGGTTATTAAGAATTGTTGTTCATATTTTAACAGTTTGGTAAGTCCTAATTCATCCGCAGCCACTATACGATTTAAACAACTTTTTCCGTCATTTGGAGCACCTTCGAATATTAGTTCGTCTGTATACAAGTGACTATATTATATAATTAATTATTAATAAAAATTATTTATAACTTTTATGTAAATTCAAAAAATAAAATTTTTTTGAGAAACTTACTTTAGTAAAAAGTTAAAGACTTCAGGAGAAATGCTTGGTAAATTTAATACAATCAAACCATCTTGTTTTCTTGCCCATTCACTTGATAAAGCGACTTGAAAGTATTTTGATCCCTTTTTTAACACCTCTGAATGTAAAGAAAATGAAATTACGTTTGGAGGATCGCCAACGTAAATTTTTACATCATGATTTTCATCGTCTTTTTGATAAAATTTTTCTAATTTACAAGTCTCCATCTTTTTTTTTTTTTTTTTGGTATATTTTTTTTTTAATGAAAGTTGATTATTGAATTTTTTTTATAAATATTTTCAAATCATTGATATACGGAGAATCTGCCTCATTTTCTATTTTGATATCTAGCTATATTTATACCTATTAAATATAAAAAGCAAAGTACATATTATTAATGATAAATGTATGTGCATATTTACGCGCATGTACAGTACGTACAGTACGTATACCTTTTTGAATAATCATCACAAATAACTGCATACTTTAACTTTTCCTTTTTTTTTTTTTAAGTACTATAATTTAAGGTTAAACAATGAAATTTTATCAATAATTTAAAATAATTTTCAAAATATTATCTAAATAAAAATATAATCTTCGGAAGGGTCCGTAATTTTTCATAAAGAAAAATTAAGAGCCTAATTAGGAATAACGCTTTTTCTTAAAATATGTATAAAAAAAAAAAAAATAGGTTACCAAAATAGTAACCGTTCAAATCCAAAATTATCCTTTTTTTATTAAAATTATACAGTAAAATAATATTCAATACGTATTCGTATTATTTTTATCACTAATTTTTTTTTTTTTTTTTTCATATCAAAATATAACTAAATGGGTAACATAAATTATGTAATCTCATGCATTAAATTTTTACTGTGCTCTCGTTCTTAACGAATAAAAATGGGAATTCGATTGACTTGATATTTAGACATATGTGGTATTTTTGATAAAAATAGTTTAATCCACAGTACCCTTTTAATTGTATTCTAAGTTAGGAAATATTATTCAAAAAAAAAGGGGGACGTTCGTTACGTATATAAAAAAAAAAAAATTAAACCTGACAAATGCAAATGTAAAACTATTGAAGACCACACGTGGAGATATGCAAAATGTTATAATCAAAAATTTCATTCGTTTATTTAATAAACGTACGCCCAACATGTTCCTTCCGATGCTTAAATAGTCGTTATCTTCATATATAATAATAGAACGTATCAAACGATAAGGGATTAATATCTTTTTAATCCCAGAAAGATTTCTTTTTAAGTATTCTCATAGTGATCATACTTGCTTCTACCGTATTCGTACCTATGTACGCCCAATTATCTGTGTGATTACTAATTAAGATCACTTAATGCTATCAATTTACTGTAAAAAAATATCGACGTGCCTTAATGTTAAACAGGGATTCTTCTAACCAATTATCATAACATTCGAATGTGATGAAATTTATTTTTTTCCTCCTGGGATTTTTAAATCTTATCGTTATTTAAATATAACTTTGCATATATACGTGTATTTTGTAAAACCTTAAAAAAAGAAAATATTTCTTTAAAAGTTAAAAAATTTTAATATTTCGGAATTCCTTTTTTAATATTTCCTTTTTTTTATTATTATGAAATTCATTATATGAATGGTTAGATAATAATTAATAAAATAAAATAAAAAAATTAAAGAATAAAAAAAAATATATGTTCATATGACAAACTTAAACCTTATATTTTATTAAATTTTATTTAGCGTTTTGTTAAAAAGCTTGTCAAACTTTAGTCCTTAACTTTACATGACCAAAGCTTACTTCGGACAAATGTAGAGGATATCAGTCTCTGCATATGTTGGAAAATTGATTTAACTAATTAATTGATTTATAATAATTCTATGCACGAACTTAAAGACCAAATCCTGATCAAAATTTCTATTTATGAAATACTGTCCAAGTAATCCTTAACTATAATAATAATTCGGTACGTTTAACGCACGTATGTATGTATGTATTTATGTATGTATGTACTTAAGTATTTATCATACGTAATGAGTTATAAAAAGCGGGGAAAAATATATATTCATTTCCCGGTCATATAGCCCATTGTTTTAAGTATCTTTTTTGATACATTATAAAATAATTGAAATGGTTTGGATCAAGAAAGATATTTTTGAATTTAAGTGTTTTTTTTTTTTTCCTGTTAAAGGTAACAGCAATGTACGTATTTGCTTCTTGTTTTTAGCAATATTTTACTAATATTGATACGTAACGGTAACAATAAAAAATTTTTTAGAAAACTCATTATTGGAGATCATAATGAAATTTAGTGATCTAACCTTAACGTTAATAGGAAATGTTCTAATGATAAATAAATTGTGCCACTGATGATACGTAATTTGAAGATTATATAACATTTATTTACATTGTTTACAAAATGTCTAACCCCTTTAAGTTTTCGGAATCAAATTTTCAATTTTTTATTTTTTAAATTTTTAATACAATTTTTTAACAAGAAAAAAATTTTTAATTTTTTTTATCAAATAATAGTACGAATGTTACATTCGGCGAATTTTATTAATAAAAAGTTGCCACATGTTATTATGTTTATATATATATATTTTTTTTCTTTTTGAAAATTTCTTTATTCAAGAATTCTTTTGATCAAAAGTGTAATGTAAATAACACCATTCGATTTTTCAAAAATTATTAATATTTTGAAATTGTTCTGCTTATATGAAACTACTTTTTTTATGTTCCGTTCTAGCTATAAAACAAATTTTTGTGATAATTTATTTAATTATTAATAATATCTCATAAGAAATAATATTTTAATGCTCTTTATACCATTCCTGATATAACTTCATAACCCGAATAAATTATGATACGGAAATTGCGTGTGACAAAGTCGTAAATTATGTGAGTAAAAAGAGATAAATAATATCTCATAATAAATAAGAAATGTTATTATACCATTCCTGATACGTATAACACCACAACCCGAATAAAGTGGATCTAGAAATTGCGTATGACAAATCGTAAATTATGTGAATAAAAGAGATAAATAATATCTCATAATAAATAAGAAATGTTATTATACCATTCCTGATACCCGAATAAAGTGGATCTGGAAATTGCGTGACAAAGTCGTAAATCATGTGAATAAAAGAGATAAATAATATCTCATAATAAATAAGAAATGTTATTATACCATTCCTGATACGTACGTATAACACCACAACCCGAATAAAGTGGATCTGGAAATTACGTATGACAAATCGTAAATTATGAAATTATGTGAATGTTACGAGTTCTGAAATTTATGCATATTAGTCGAAAATGTACAATCAGGATTGGTGAAATTGAACATTTTATTTAAGTACCTAAATTTAGCTAGATGGACCTACTTTTTAAATTTTGTAATATTGATACGTAATGATAGTGATATTAATTTATATAACTATGAATCGGGATATCCGAATAAAGAGTTCAATTTATGAAAATTATTTAGATAAAGTCTTAATTCCGCTAATACACCTTAATATATGAACCGATTATAATAATAGATAAGAATTATAAACTTAATAATTTAATTAACGAATGGCAAATGTTGGATATTTAAATAACCTTATAAAAACATATTAAGAATTTTACAAAATTCAATAATGAATCTATATGGCTGGCGTTATATTATAATTTAGCCCAATTTGATAATGTTGGAATAAAAAATGTTCATTCTGTGTAATGATGTCCGTGTAACACTATTTTCGTGCAACAATAACAGATTGTTCAAATTGTAAACAAATCTGATAATTTTATTACCTTTTGCACATGAACGAGTCTATGCAATTTTGCAGACAGTTCGTCATTTGTTCCAATATTTAATTCACATTTGACATTTGACCTGCTATCCGTGGATACGTTTCCAGCAAGTTGCGCATTCGTATTTTGTTATCTAGCTAAATAGTGGTTCATTATACTCAATTGACGCAAGGCTACGTGTTTATGCAAACTGCAGGCAGTTCGTCATTTGTTTCAACATTTAAATTTACATTTGACCTGCTGCCCGTGGGTACGTCTCCAGCAGATTTGCGCGTTTTTTTAAGAGCTAACTTTACTTCAATTTTTTATTTTATTTTATTTTATTTATAACAAACTTCTATTCCACACTATGCATGAAATCTATTTGACATCATGTAACCCTATTGAGTGGCCAAGACTTTACATGATTATATTCTAGTTGTATTACTGGTAACAGGAAAATTTTGATAAGAAATTTATACAATCGCAATTATTTTAGTATAACTAATTATTATATATAACTGAAATACAATATATCGAGTTTTGGTACGTTTGCTTCACTTATTAATTAGATTTTTGAATAATCAGATAAAAAAAAAGGGGAATTTACAAATAAGGGCCTGAAAAGTTTAAAATAATTACGGATAAGGGCCCAAATTAAAAATAATTACATATAAGGGCCTGATCTTTGAAAATTATTACATATAGGGGCCCAAATATATCAATAGTTGAAAAAACGTGATCACGAGATTACCATGCTGCAAAGATACTTATTTATTATACTGTATATTGATTTATTAGATAAATAGATAAATAAGCATTAGTTATAATTACTTTCGCTTAAATACTATATAAAAGATAATGTTCAAACTAGCATAATTTTGCATTTGATATAAGAATCAAACATGAATGCATATTACTTCAGATTAGACTAATCTTATTTTTGTTAATGTCTTCGGCTACAAGTATGTATATTATGACCTTTTTTACCACATTTTTCACAGGTAAGCAGATCTTCTGGTGCTGTTTCTCCATGGCTATGTAAATGAGTTTTTCGTGGTTGTTCTGCTTGTTTTATTGTGGTGGTAGCAGAGTTTTTTTATCAAGAAAGCATGTTTCTATGTCAACAGATTGAGCAGACTCTTTATAAATATTTTGAAAAGCTGCAGTGTAATATATAATATGAATAAATTATAAAAGCTGTTGACATACCTTAAGAATAGCAGCACATACATATATACAGAAAAATTGATACTCTTGAAATTGTTTGCAAGAGCAAGTTGATAAAGTAAGGTTTATAATATGAAAATTGTTATTATTATTTTTAATCTCAAAAACTGATTTATTAACTTGATACACTATTTAGTTACAATATCTGCTAATAACTAATAGTAGCTGTTGAGTAATTGTAGGTAGCAATACTGTTTAAACTGAAGAGTATATTATATGATAATTGTAGTAGAGTATATTGATCTTATATACAAATAAATTGATTGCTTTAAATAGTTCTACAATATGTTTTTTATATAACCAAGAATTTAAAGATTTAGATGTATTGGAAGTAAGATAGCCAAACCTATTTTGAAGATATTTGCTGAGAGTCTATGTTACAGGTAATATTTTACTAAGATAAATAGCTGCTTTTATATGTAATTTTAAAATTTCTTTTATTTTTTTTTAAAAAAATTTAGCAATCATACTGTGACTTTATTTAGATTTGTTTTTTATTTAAAAACAATATCATTTAGCTATATACTATTTAATATCTAATTTTTTAAGCTTTAACTTACCCAGTTATCATAACAATACCTATATGCAATCTGCTATAGTAACCTTTGTTATATACTCAAGTAGTTTATAATTTATAGACTACAAATTAGTATAGGAAAGATACTATAGCTCATCATAACTAACTTTAAATCCAACTACTTAAAATTCTTTCTTTTACTTCCCTTGCTATACTATCTAATGCTATTTTAAGACTAATATTATAATTTTCTATGTTCTCATCTATTCTGCAGTTTGTTTTTTTTCCTTGTAGGCCTTTTTTTTGAATTGTTTTTCCTTTTTACCTTGCATGTATATTTTTCTTTTTTAGAGATCTTTTTTTTTTCTTCTATGCTTCTATATCTTTACATTGATTTTTTCAAATTTTTTTATATACTAATTCTATCTATATATGCTAGAACAAGCTCTAGAATTTAGTTATCATATTTTCAGAGCTAACAATAGACTTGATTTTTTTAGCATCATTTTTAGTAAGGATACTTCTTTTCTCTTTTGTTATTTTATTTTCTGTTTATATTAGATAGCTTAGTATATACTTATTAGGTCTCAGTTTTCTTCCTTTCTTTTATCTTTGTAAAGCTATTTCTATACTTCTTCTTTAATTTTTTCTAGTATCTGATATATTTTTTCATAAGTGAATAGATATTCAATTGTTTCTTTTTTCTTTAAACATCTTTTGTATAGACTATCTTTATATAGTTGCAGTCTTCTATGATTTAAGTTTTTAACAGTTAGAAGGAGATTTTTAATATATTTAATTTTAAACAGTTACAAGTAATTTACTTTAGAATTTTGATATTGTTTATAATAGCTTTTAAATATACCTTTAAAGCTTTCTAATCCTGTTTTTGAATTCTTGTTTAGTGTTTCTTATCATTTTTTTTTCTTGATTATATCTATTCTGTCTTATATATTGTTTGAACTGCACTTTTGATAAAAGCTCTTAGTGAAGTTTTTAAATTTAGCTTTTTCTATTCAAAAATATACTTTATACTATTATTACTAATATTGTTTAGTTCTATGTTATTTGCTTTATCTATTCTTTCTTTTACAAGCTTATCTACTAAGTCATTATATGTATCTTCTGAATAACTTTTAACTTTTGTGAATGTTAGCTAAACTAATTTGCTTTTGCAGGCTTTTTTAATTGCACACAGAATATTATTGTTCTTAGACTTTAACCACTCATATATCTTTTCATTTTTAAGAAAATTCTTAATTGCAAAGATTATATATATACTATTTATTTTTATTTCTACTTTGCACCTATCAAAAACTAACAAAACTACTACTAGACAAGCTACTAGCTTTGCATGAGTAAATAAGAACAAATTTTTTATTTTTCTCTTATAACAAAAAACTACATTATTTATGCTATCTATTTGAACTACACTAAATTTTATTCTTATTCTATTCCTAGTATCCTCTCTACTAAGTAAGCTATCTGTATAAAATACTATTTCTTTTTTTTTTCTATTTGCCTCTAACCTATCTTTTAATTCTTTTCTAATTTTTTTGTCTTGAATAACTTGATTAATTAGCTCTACTTCTCAGCTACTTTCTACTATAACACATTCTAGATTCTTAAATTTTTTAACTTCTTCTTTTCTAGTTTTTTGGTTCTTTTTTTCTATTTTTTCTAGGTACTTTCTATTGAATACTACTTCAGATATATTATCTTTCTTTTATATAAAGCTTGAGATATTGTAAACTTTTTTAAATACTATTCGTTGCTTTTATCTATTTTTCTTCAATTTGATTTCTTTATTATATACTTCTTGTTAGCTGCCTTCAATATATGAGTTTTCATGATCTTCTTCACAGATCTCTACTTCTACAAGCTTCTTTTTCTTTTTGATAATATAACCTATTTTATTTTTCTTATTCTCTTTGCCTTTTATAAATATCTATTCTTTCTTTCTTTTGTTATATAAAATTATCTTTTTGATTTCTTGTACTTAAAAACTTCTTTTTTTTCAGTATTCTTCTATTATTACTCTTGATTTTTTATCTTCTAGGATTTCATTTTCTAGAGTTTGAAACTATTTTGCCTTTCTACTGATATATCTCTTTTCTTCTCTTATTTTGAGTTGTCTCCAAGTAATCATTTTTTCTTGTTCTTTATCTAATAGCTGATTTACATGCTATAAGTTAAGCTTACTTATGCTTTTCTGTGCTTTCTTTATATTATATTTATTAAAAATATTACTAATAAAGCAATTTTTTTATTTCTGCAAGTTTATGAGGTTTCAACTTGCTATGAAGTTATTCTCTGCAACACTTAGATCAAATCTTTTTGCATATTGCATTATTATAGCTTCTAGATTTCTGTGCTTAATTTTTTTCTAGCTCATATTTTCTGCTATGAGTATATACTCTGATATATTCATATCTAGCTATGACTGTTTTAACCTCATTAAAGTAGTAATACCTACAATACTATTTGTATTCATTTTTATGAAGAGCTCTGATCTATAGTACTCAATATGTTTTTGCTTTGGGCTTACTACTTTAAAAATTTCTTTATGCCAAAGAGTTATATTTATACATATAAATAGAAGCTCTAGTTTCTATTTAATTAATCTAAGCATAGGTTGGTATATACTGTTATATAATTTTTTTTTT